CAGCGTCGTGTATATATATGTTTGTTACAGTCTCCCGTTTAAATGATTGGACCCCTTGAAAGTGATGTACGCATGAAACTATGCTGCTAATTTATTTTTATTTTTTTTTAATTTAAGGATGCTTGTAACTTCCGGTTTTCTGCTTGTACAGTGTTTATCATCTGGACTTTCATGTTGTGGTTTCTAAGTGCAAATTTCTCTTAAGAAAAAACGAATGCTAGCTGTCCGATAACATTTTGAAGGCTCTATCTGACTAATTTCTTGATTTTGGCTTCTTTAGCTGTTTTGATTGGGATATATATTTGTAACTTACAGACCATCAACTCATAGCTAGGTGGTTTTTCTGGAATTATTCATGTTCTTGTACGTTCTTCTTGATGTTGGAGTCAACCATATCAGATTTTGGATTGATTAAATATGGTGTGCATACGAGGGGTTGGCAGTAGAATAGACCTTTGTGATGTTACTGGATGTACAATTGTTTTCTGGGAATTTGCTTGTGCTGCATGTGGGGTATCTTGTATTCATTGCTATGTGGGTTCTTTGAGGGGTTTATGTTGGTTTGAGAGTAATCAGATACTTTGAATAAGAATATGATCATTTTTTATCAATGCTGAAGTTTTCTTTTTTCATTTTTCTAAGACGTTGCTCTTTTGTTATTATATATGGTTGCTTTTTAAAATAAGAGATTGTGTGATGCAGAATGGGTTGGATTTAGAATTGCAAAATATACTTAAAAGCAAATTTCTATCAAATCTATAGTCTATTTAATCTTATGGATAAGATTAGTACTTTATTAGCATTAGGATTTTATTATAGCTGGAATTCTTATAAGAAATAACTTTTCTATTAGCATTTGTTAGCTATAGTTAGATTGGGATTTTATATTTAAGCACTATTAGTGCAGAATGGACTAGTACTAGATTTCCTAAATAAATTAGGAATTGTAATTATGTTAAATGTAAAATTATTATACTAGTTAGGAGTCTGTTTTATATTATTTAGGGGTATTATTATAGTTTTAGTAATTTAAGATTTTAATTTTTATCAGTATTTTCATAACTATTAAGATTGGTATTCTTAATTTCATTAGTATTAGTTTTTACTCTTGTTAGGATTAATATTTCTAATTTTACTAATTTACTATTTTTTTAGTTTGATTTTACTTGGGAAAGATTGTTTAGAGATGATTAGAAATAATTCGTAAGTTCACTTATTAGAACATTCAAGTTATTCAGTAATATTTTTGAGAATTTTTCATAACTGATTGTGTGACTCAATCAATCCTTAGGTGTGATGCCTAAGAATTGTAGGTGTGATATCTAGGTTTTCTCAAATTTCTTAGTAGGAAAATCAACCTTAATTTATTCTTGATTAATTTGGTACCAGAGTTAAAGAATCCTACATCCAAATTCTCAAAACATTTACATCCAAACAATCCCAAATCCGACTGGAAAAAAATCAAAAATCCTAAAGCAGTCATCATCATCATCTGGTGATTGGAAGCCAGTGCATGGAGCCCACATCTGGCCAGCCGTGATTAGACCTTGTGCAATTTGTTATGTTTTGGCTTCTTCGATGAGTTCTCTGTTCGACTTGAATTTTCTAAAGAGAAATTAAGCTTCAACAATGGTGACTAATGTGGACTTAAATGCAAAATTTGAGACACATAAGCAACCACTAATACTAGATTGGAAGTAATGCAAACACTATCGAAACGATCTTAGAAGAACTGAGACACTTAAGCGCAGCACAAGTACGTCCACTAATTCAAAATATACAAGTTAAACAAGCTGCCAATAGAAGACATACTGAAAATAATACTGGAGATATTACCAAGAGGGTAAAGGTCAAAGCTCCTGATTTTGACGGAAGAAGAGACTTTAATTTCTTCCTTGATTGGCTTAATTTAATGAAAGAGTACTTCACTGGTATGCCATGTCATATGCAAGAAGAGTTTGATTTGCCAAGATGTTGGTTGGACTTGCAAAAATATGATGGTATGCTATTGATGAAAATATAACAAGAGCTAGACAACCAACAATTGGAACATGGGATTAGATAAAAACTACTCTTTGTGAAAAGTACCTACCTCCCAACTACTTTGACAAACTTCATGGCCCAATTTACATTTTAGTCTAAGATAACATGTTCGTAACTGAGTAGACACAGGAGTTTGAAAAACTAAAGATTTGGAATTAGCTAGTCGAAGATGATAATGAAGCTGCATCTCAATCCAAGGCAGGATTAAAGTTGATATTAAAGAGAGTTAATTCGACAGCCCCTTGCCAATATAGCACAAATTTACCAATTGACCCTTGGTGTGGAAGAATATTTGAAATATCCAATCCCAAGAAACATTGTAGAATCCGTTCCTAAAGATACATTTGAATCAAAAGGTGAGCTGAAGAATGGATCAAGATCAAATTTCAAAACTCCTAAAAGTAAGGAAGTTGTGTGCTTTAGATGTGGACAAAATGGGCCTCATGATTAATATGGTATCTTATCTAAAAAAAATGATTAATATGGTATCTAGTTCTTTTTTTTTTTTTTTCTGCTTAGACTTGGGAGTCCGACTTTTTTGATCTCTTCTACTGCCTGTAACCATGGCATGTTTTTAGAAATGACCATTTATGGTGTACTGAAAAACACCTGCTTCAAGACAGTAACTTAAGATCTCTCAGTCTCTCCCATGGTATCATTATTTCCTTCTCATTGAGCTCCCTCAAACTCTTAAATATCTATATAAAAAAGATCCTATAACCTGTTTGAAAAGACTTCCATGGTCTTGTTACATGTTACGTTTGCTATTGATTTTAGGTTCTAGTGTTTTGGTTATGTTGTAATTTGCATTCTGATATAGCATTTTATGGTTGATTAAGGGTGCTTCTTGAAACTGCTCTGTTGGCATTCCTTTCAGCCCAATACCTAAAACCCTAGGATCTCTCTAAACTAATGGGGAAGAAGCGAAAGCACACTGAGACTGAGGTTCCTGCAAAAAAGAATGAAAGTGCTCCCCAGCGGCCTAAAAGGGCGCTCTTAGGCTGGAAAGATAAAGATGAGGAAGCGTCAACTGAATCTTTTTCAGGTTTTAGGAACAAAGAGAAGGTTTTGGTTACTTGTTCCAGGCGAATTAACTACAGGTAATAGTCATTGTTTTGTTTTCGATTAGCCTTTGTGTTTTGTTTGTTTGACATGAAATTGAATTGTGTATTTAATCTTATAGGTATCGGCATTTGATGCTGAACCTGGTGTCCCTCTTGCCTCACTGCAAGAAGGATAGCAAGGTTGAGTCTAAAAGTACCAAAGGCGCAACCCTGAATGAGCTTGTTGAGCTTAAAAGTGGTTCTTCCTGTCTGTTTTTTGAGGTAAATTTCTGGACCTGTTTGTTTCAAAGCAGTCTTCTGGGTCAGTATAAATTTTTTGAGTTCGCTTCTGTAAATTGAAGCTATGATTTTTGCTACCTAAGCATATAGTGTATTCTCTGTTTTTATTTTGGGACAAACATTGAAAATATTAGTGCAATTGATTGTCAGTTATCGCAATTCAGTTTGATTTGTTTCTTACTTTTGGGTTAAATGCTCCATTTTTTATAAAATCATGAATCATTGTTCTGGTTTAGTGAAATCTTTAGTGCGAGGACACTTTGATGCTAGGAAGAACAGATTAACGCACTCTAGTTTCATGTTCTCTGAGTTCTTATTATTCCCCTGCGATTTACATCTTATTTTTTAAAATTTATGCTTCAGTGCAGGAAACACAAAGACCTTTATCTCTGGATGGTCAAGTCTCCAGGTGGACCATCTGTGAAATTTTTGGTTAATGCTGGTAATTTCCTTATCAAATTCTTATTATGCATTACAATCATTCTTTCCCGGAATTAGTTCGATGACCTTCTTGGCTTCTCTTTGGGCTAAACCTCATGGGAACTACTCATATATCTTCCTGTCTGTTTTACATAGGAGTTGGGATGCTATGGTCACGGGAGATGTTGTCTGCTTCCATTGATTTTTTATTACTTTGTTTTTGTTTTCTTATCTTTTCCATATTTCTTTTATCTCAAAAAAAAAAAATCTTTTCCATATTTCTTTAGCTAGATAGCTTATCTGCTGTACTTTTTGTATTGGTACCTTCTCTTTTCAGTGATATTTCATCTTCTATAAAAAAAAGGGCAAAATTGGTATAAATTTTACTGTTTATACTCATTACTTTGACATTATGGGTTCATCTCTTCTAGTAATTTGTTAAAAATCTAGCAAGTTTTTATTATTTGCAGTTTCCCTGGATTTTAATTTTCTTTATTTTGTTTCTGAAGTACACACAATGGAAGAACTGAAGCTTACGGGAAATCATCTTCAAGGGTCACGCCCTCTCTTGACTTTTTCATCCAATTTTGACAAAGATGGCCACTGGAAACTTTTGAAGGAAATGATCATTCAAGTAAATCTTGCTTGCTTACTGCAACAATTTGTTTGTTTTTCACTTTTTCACACTTGTAAGAACCTAAATAGAATTATTGCTTTTCTGAATACTTAATAGGTAATAGAAAATCAACCCCAAGATTCATCAGAATTTTTTTAGTTTGATTCATGCTGCTGTTTTTGTTCCAGATGCTCACCTCCACATGTTGAAAACTTGCAGTGTTGTCTTATATTTTATATATGCAATTAGAATCTGTCTGAAATGCGCAAAAGATCAAACACGTTCATGTGCTTGTGCATGTTCTTTCATCATTGACGTGCAGCTGCATGAACATAAGAAAATCATCTAGGAAAATATCATAGTTAGTTGATTTTAAACCATTCTGTCAAATGGCTGAAGCAAAGGTAGTTAAGTTCATATATATATATATATAAATTGTTTAGGTTAACCTACGAGCTAATATAAGGAGATTAGTTCTGATGCAATTCATATATATATATATATATATGAATTGCATTTGAAGTTTTTTATTTGAGTATTAAAAGACAAATGACTTGTTGCTAATTTATCTGGTTCCCTTTCATCAGATATTTGGGACTCCAAAGGAGCACAGGAAATCTAAGCCTTATCATGATCATGTATTTGTTTTCTCCATTGTTGATGACCACATATGGTTTCGCAATTACCAGGTTGGTGATATTCCAAAATTTACATGTTTAATAATAGTAAATAGAAATACATGGTCCTGTTTTGCGTGGTGATATATTTGTCTGTAGCTCTAGTGACTTACTGAAAATTTAAAAGAAATATTATTAGAGGAAGGGAGAGGTAGTGCAAAAAGTGAGGAAAAAATATCCTACTAAGAAAGCATGGAAAAATGAAGACAGCAGAAGATCCTTCAATACAGTAGGCAACTAATTACTGAATCCTTTTTGCAAAGTAGATGAAGAAAACCCCTGAATGAAGCCATGAGCCTTAGCCTGCAGTGAAGCAAGAACACCATTCTTTCACAAAGAAGCTTGGATGCTTCTTTGTGAACATCCATAAACCTGGACTCTCCAAAAGGGACAAAAATTCCAGGCTGTTGCTAATTGCTTGTCAGAGTTAATCAATGATTCTAAGCATCTTATTTTCCGTGGCCGTAGTAAATGAAGCTATCTGCTGCTAATTTATGCAAATGGCATGATGCTAATTAACGGTCTTGTCTGAAATTCTTGTCTGCCGTCATTACATATCAAATTTTTCAGCAGCCTTTAACATAGATATATTTTCTGGTTTATAATATCTACTGGAGACCTCTTCACAGTAGATCTCTTTGATTCTTCTCAAATTCTGAGATATGGGTTATGTGAATAACATCTGGGATTCTTGATAGAGGTATCTCAGTGTGGGAAAATGATTTGTGTTGTTTTCAAGATTAAAAAGACTCATAAGAGGAGGATTGCAGGAGAACATAGAACTTATTATCAAATCATAAATGCTCTAAACAAATTGGTAGTTAGGACTCTAACCAGAAGTTCTGGACCTAGTTTGCATTTCCCATCTTGTGATTTATGTACTAATTTTCTTTTTCTTCCTTTTTTTATGTTTCCAAATGCAGATATCAGTTCCTCATAATGAATCAGATAAAATGGTTCGAGGTGGCCTGGATAAAATGACCCTTGTTGAGGTTTGTTGGGCATAACTTCTAATTTATACAATTTAATTGTCATAGGTTTTAATCTTAATCCTACAATATTTGGTGCGTATAGGTTGGTCCCAGGTTTTGTTTGAACCCAATAAAAATATTTGGTGGCAGCTTTGGCGGCCCGACACTATATGAGAATCCACTATACATATCGCCAAATCAGGTTAGAGAAGTTGAAGCTTATTTTGATTTCAGTATCAATATCGTTGACTACTTTATGCATATAGACATGATGATCCCTCTCAAGGGCCCATCTAATAATGCAGTCTCTACTTGCTGTTACTGTATTTTTCTGTTTTTCTGATTTAGTAGTTATATTCTGAGGTATGAATAATGTGATAACTCTTCCTTTTTTTTTTATTTTGAGAAAAGAAAAAAGACGTGATACCTCTTGTTGTTAATGCCTCCAGATCCGAGCAATGGAGAAAAGACAGAAGGCTGGGAAGTATGCTAAGAAAATCAAAGCAAAAAAGAGAAGGAAGATGCACGAGCTTGAACATCCATTGGAGCCGGATGAGTTTGCAGACATGTGGAGAGAATGATATTCCTGGACTCTCCCTTGTTTGCTTTGCAATACTTCGATGGTGAAGGGAAGCTCGGTGCTACTTTATCATATTGTATCCTGCATGAAGAAGCAGATTTTGTTTTGTTTGTTACAATTGCCTTTCCTAACTACCCATTTTTATGAGTTAAATTTATGGCGTCTATAATATCTACTTTGTAGGTGAAGTATCTGTGCTCCGCTACTCCGGATTCCAATGTCATATCGTACATATACTTATAATTAGCAACCAGATGTTTAACTATTTCCTTTATGTTATCTTACTAGACATAACTAAGACTGCTGCAAGTCTCTTGCCTTTCTTCCTTTATGGTGTAAGATTAGGCATGCTCTACAAAGAAATTTGTGGATTTGTGGACTGAAAAGTCTTTGCATCATGTAATGAATTAGATAAAAGTTTGTCTTCCTCATCAAGAAAGTGCCCTTAGAACTTGAGCTTTTGAACTGGATCGTAGGCCAGAATTCTCGAGCTAATGAACTGGATCATGGAACTTGAGCTTACATTCACTTTTTGGTAAATCTGCCTGATCAACTACAAAAATTTGTAACAAAGATACAACCAATGACAGAATAAAATCTTTACTTTCAGTCAAAATTTAACTAAGAAACCAATGTACTTCAATCTTTACCCAATTACTCCATCCCTATATCAGAAAGAGAAAATTAAATTTGAAAAATAGTTGGGTTTGTCAAATCTTCAACTGGTTGGGCAAAATAATGATTCAAGTAATGTAGAGTACGTTTAATAAGGTCAGTCGGGTCATGGATATAACACCGCCAAGGTGCGAGCTTTGCTTTCTGCTGACTCCATTTCTCTCAGAGGATTAAGAACACAGCCTCTCTCTCTCTCGCCCACAGGCACCCAAATGCACAAAGCGGACGTCGGCAGGAGAAGCACAACCAAGAGAAAGAGAGAGATGGCCGACCGATTTTTCCCCAATGAGTTACCTGACTTCGTCGCTGGCCCCGGAGCAACTGCCGATGCTTCAAAAGTCCCAGTCATCGATAGAACAGAAGATTCACTCACCAAGCTCCTCTTTCTTCCCGACGAGACTTTTTTCGATAAACTAGAGAGATCAGCTCTGGACATAAAACAAACCGTACTTTAATAGCTTTCTATAACGTGTCTACACCTGGGTTTTCACTTTTTTGCTTTCTCTTGCTTTAAAGTTCTAATTTTGATTCATTTTAAGATTTATCCATCAACAGGCTTTGCATCAGACACATGGGTAGACTTGAATTTCTCATGATATGTCTATTGGGGTTTTGTGTGTATTTGAGGGTTCTGTAAATGAACATTAACGTTAACTTTCTTCTTTTTTGCTTTCTCACCTTCATGAATTCTATACATAACTCTTCGCTCAAAGAAAAAAAATGATCTATAGTTGAAGTTTGGGCTCTGGGTGTTATGCGTCAATTAGGAGGAAGTCGACTAGGAAAGTAGGGATTAGGAAACAGGAATTCCTATACGGAGAAATGAGGAAAGTAGAATTGATAGAAAAGTAGTTAAAACAGTTAAGTAGGCGTGTATAAATACTTGTATTCAGAAGATACAAGGCATCAAGAAATGAAATGAAATGTTATTTAACCGGACCACTCTTTGTGATTCTCCCTCTTTCTTTCTCCTCCCTCTCTCTGCAACGATTCTAAGATTAGATGCAACAATTCTCAGCTTGTGCAGTCCACAGTCCGCAAAGAATTTCTCACCTAACAATTCTGCGAGGAAAGATGCTTTGTTACCACTGTTATGTGAGGAATTTTGTGTTATCTTCAGTGTTTACTTAACTGTTTTAACTACTTACTGTTATCAATTATATTTCCCTAATTTCTCTACGCAGGAATTTCTGTTTCTTAACCCCGAGTTTCCTATTCGACTTCCTTTCTTAATTGACACATAACAATCTATGGGTTTTTGTAGTTGGATGGACTGTTGGTATTTCAATTACAATGTTTCTTTTTCATCAACTCAAATATGTATGTATAGTAGGAAGTTTGGCTTCTGGGTTTATGGGGTTTTGTAGTTGGATTGGATATATTGGTATTTGCCATTAAAATTCTTGAGCTATTATTGTTTAGGTGGTGAGGGAGACATGGGGATTTGGTGGAAAGCGTGTGCAAGATTATACTCTTTACACGGGAGTTCTTGGGACCGCTTATTTGGTCTTTAAAGCTTATCAAGTCACCAAGAATCAGAATGATCTTCAATTGGGATCTGAAATTGTTAAGGCTTGTGAATCTGCTTCAAGAGACTCTGGGTGATTTTCCTCTCTCTATCTTTCTGCAGATGCTCATTGACATGAGCAAGCTGTTATTACCAAGTCTACTAATTTGTGAACTTTTTTGACTCAATGTTATACCTTAGGATTCAATATTAGTAGAAATTTTTATGTATGATGGAATCTGCATCAGATCGTTCATACTGTCATTGTATAGGCTGGATTTTGGGCAGAATTGTCTGTTGAGTGGTATAGAGGAGTGCTCAAATGGCAATTGGTATAAACATACACCTGATTTTAGATGGAATGTCTAGCTTACTGAATACTTATAAGATATGTTGGATAATAAAAGGAGATACAGTTTCCAGCAAAGCTTGCAACACTGCGAAAGTGACAATTTTACTGAAGTAACAATGTCATAGTGCCCATGGGATTTGCTTAAATGTGTCGGAATTTGGAATAAGACAATCTATTGAAGTCTTATGTTCAACCTTAAGGTGCTGTTGGAATGAATAATCCAACTTGACTTGCCCCATTATCTGGGGCATGTTTGTAGGCGCGTGACTTTTATATGTGGATGTGCTGGTGTTTATGCTCTTGGTGCTGTTCTGGCAAAGCATGCCAGTGACAAGAGGCTACTTGATCGCTACTTGACGCAATTTAAAGAAGTAACTTATTGCTATTTCTTTTTTCTTTTCAAAATTTATGTTTTTCTGACCTTAGTTGGTGTTCAAACTATTTACTTCAATCTGATTTTTTTTCCTTTTCTTGCGGGGTTGGAGGAGTGAGTTCTGATCCTTTGATTGAATTTTGCTCATGAGAGCAGATAACATTTCCTACTGGTCTTCCAGAAGAGTTACTATATGGTAGGGCAGGATTCTTGTGGGCCTGTTCATTCTTAAACAAGCATATCGGTAAAAACACAATATCTCATGCTCACATGGTAAGATATTTTGCTCTTTCTTTCAAACTATTTTATCTTAATTGAGAGCACCAAACTAATTCTTGTATTGAGAAAAAAATTATTGCAGCAAGCAGTTGTGGATCAAATTATAAGGGCTGGTAGGCAATTGGCTAGCGAAGGCAGCTGCCCATTGATGTATGAATGGCATGGGAAGAGGTACTGGGGTGCTGCACATGGATTGGCTGGAATAATGAATGTTTTGATGGACATGGAACTGAAACCAGATGAATTGGAGGATGTCAAGGGTACAATCCGTTACATGATTAAAAATCGATTTCCAAGTGGCAACTATCCATCGAGTGAAGGAAGCGAATCTGACCGCCTTGTACACTGGTGCCATGGTGCTCCAGGGGTTGCCCTTACCCTCATAAAAGCAGCTGAGGTAATCGTCATTAATTACAATCTTTACTACAATCTATATTTTAGGATTAAGTTACAACAGCAATGACAGCTAAAGAGCTAAAGAAATGAAGGTTCAATAAATCTTGTGACCTTTTGAAAAAAGCAGAGCTTTTTGTGATGTATTCAACTTGTGCTTTTGATTTCTGAAAACTAAAGTTGCCCTTTTTCAAACAATTTCGAGGAGCATAATTTTGTTTAGTAGCTTTTAATATAGAGAACTTCTGTTTTCAGTATGAAACTGGCATTTAACACTTACAAGAATACTAGCCCTTTTTAAACGCTTCCTTCCCCATCCCATATATATATATATATATGCATAGCATCTTTTATTATTTTGATGAGATTGTTAGGCTTTATGGGTAAATCCTGCATGATTGCATCAATTTTTCAAGAGTAATAAGCACAGTTGGTTACCTGATCCCTTAGTCTTGTTGATGGAAGCGATAATCCTAGAAATGGCTAGGGAAAGGGGTCAGGTTAAGAGATACTATCCAACAAATGATAATTTGATATCAGATTCTCTTACCAAATTTTAAACCACTAGGTTTTTGGAGACAAGGAGTTCTTGCAAGCAGCTGTGGATGCAGGGGAAGTTGTATGGAACAGGGGTCTTCTTAAGCGAGTGGGCATTTGTCATGGTATTAGTGGGAACACTTACGCGTTTCTTTCACTTTACCGGTTAACAGGAAATGCAAAATATTTACACAGGGCCAAAGCATTTGCCTCCTTTTTAGATGACAGAGCCCTTCAATTAATACAAGAGGGAGAGATGCATGGAGGGGATCGCCCCTATTCACTCTTTGAAGGTATTGGAGGACTGGCTTATATGTTTCTTGACATGAATGTACCATCTGAAGCTAGGTTTCCTGCTTATGAACTTTAAGCTTGTTTTATGAATGGGAGAAAGGTACATACATGAGAAAGCTTAATGACATTATTGTGATATATGAAAAGGTGGTGTTAGATATTTCTGCTCATTTTCAATCATTCATTTACTGCGGCAATTATGAAATACAATGATCATAAGGCTTTTGTTCTGTTCTCTAGAATATATATTTTATAATTGTGGCATCTTGGATTTTGTGAAAGGTTGACTATTTTATTTGTCAATTGGTTCAAAAACTCATCCGCACACCTACATAGAACAATGTTTACCAGCACAAAGGCATCTGAAATCCAAAACCTGCACTAACAAATGGACTCAGTAGTCCCTCAGCAAATATCAATCCATGTTGGTGGAAAAGATCACATTCCAAGAACCTCATAAGCTTTCTGAATTAGGCCAACCCAACAAGCTTCTCGCTCAGCTCCCACACTTTCCTTGCCTTGTCTGCATCACTAGCTTCTTGAGACAACTGGTTCTCAAAGGAAGCTGAATCTTTATTCCAGCTCCAATATACACCGGATTTCGTCAAGCTTGGATCGCTTACAACCTAAACCAGAACCAACCAAAGATATCAATCGACCACACAAAATGGAGATATATGATAACTGTAAATGATACATTATTTGTAATGTCGATATCTTGCTGCAATGCTATATTGTTTTACCTGAGCTAGTCTTTTGCCAGATTCCTCCTCAGAGACAAATCCCTTAGTGATATACTTCTGGAATGGCGGGAAGAGAAGCCTGAACAAGGGAATGTGTTCCCTGAACAAACCTGTTGTGGCAATGCAACCAGGGTAAAGAGATGTGAAGGTGATGCCAGTTTCTTCATGATACCGCCTGTGGAACTCCTGCATTGTGAGCATGTTGCATACTTTGCTGTCCTTGTAGGCCTTGGCACCATCAAAATGTCCACCATCAATCATGGCTGAGCTGTTTAGCCCGTTTAAGCCTCCTGCAAGTCCCCTCAAATCCCCAAGGTTGGCCTTAGGAGGTACATTCCCAGCCAAGGTATTTGTGTTCCCTGATTCAGGTCACCAACACCTCCATTAGCCCATTCGACAAAATCAAGCGTTCACAATTTTGTGTATATTATACATGCGTGAATCATGCTTATCATCAATGAATTAGTACCTGTAATTGAGCCAACAATGATTAGACGCTTTGAAGGGTAATCAGATTGTTTCAAGTCATCAAGCAGTAACCTTGAAAGTAGGAAGTGACCCAGATGGTTTGTCCCAACACTAAGTTCAAACCCTTCAGCGGTAAAGGTAGGATCCTTAGCAGTTGGCAAGTAAACAGCAGCATTGCAAACCAAAACATCAAGAGGCCTCCCTGATTGCCTAAAGTTCTGGACAAATTGCCGGACACTGTCCAGTGAGGCAAGGTCCAAATGCATCACAGTGTAGTTTTCCTTGGTCATGCCGGCAGATTTAGCCGCCCTCTGAGCCTTGAGAAAATCCCTGCAGGCCATGATAACATGCCATTTACCAGTCTCTGCCAGTGCCTTGGCCGTGGCTAGACCCAACCCAGAAGAGGCACCAGTGATGATAACACTTCCTTTTCTCAGTGTTTTCTTTCCTTCTAATGCAGATTTACTGATACCTGGGGTTGTAGTAGCCGCTGTTTGGGCTCTCACTGAACTAGTTCTTTGACTAAATTTCCTCTGCAGATTATAAAACACGGTCAAATTATACCCACCAAGAGCCATAAAAACCCATCTTCTAACGTCTTCAAGAATTCCCAGACCAATCTTAAACGAACAAATACAAAAACTTTGTGATGCTTATCACCCTTAGTTCACCTAAAAGACAATGAAAGTCCCCCCTTAAAATTATAACAAGTATCTTATATTGAAGTTTGAGAGAAAATGGAACAATATTCCCCAGTAGATTTTGGAAAATTCTAGTTCTAATTATACATACACTTCTATATAAAATTAATTTTATCATCTTCTAATAAAATCCACAGCTTCATGTCACAATAGAATTAAATGTATATTTCCAATCTAATTTCACAAAATTACTGATTTCTTCCACAAATAGCTTTACGTTTAATGATCACAAAAAATGTAGAACCCAATTGGGATTTTGCAGTATTAGCTTACATTGGATATCAATGCAGAAGGCCTAACGTCAGATTTGAGATTTTCAGAGACTGAAACTCCAAAAAGACTTGAGTCCTTGAATGATGCACTGGACTTTCCCTGTAAACACAAGACAAATCCATCATCAACCCCAGAAGAAATCCAAAGTTTTCAACACCAACATCAGAACAGAACTGACAACAAACCTCCTTGGGGATGGAAAAAGCAGAGGGAACCAGAGCAGCAGCAGCAGCCTGGAGAGCCATTGTCACAGTGCAGCGCAGTACAGCACTGAAGAAGGTAAAGCAGAAGCTGAGTGTCTGAATCTCAATTAGATATTAAAAGGGATGTATATATATATATATATATAACGAGATGGGAAGATGGCAGCAGCTAATATGTGAGGAAAAAAAAAAAAAGTTTGGATATGAGTGGATAAGATAATTTGCAGAGAGAATTTTTTCCACATCATTTCCTGGCTGCCAATCAGAGTTTGAGGCTGAGATTTC